ATGGTCTGTTGTCTCTGAGACATTGTGACTTTGTTGTATTTATATTTAATTGGTAATTGTATGTTGGAGTGATTTGCCTGAGTTTTGTTTTCTTTTTTTTTTTTAGCATGTATCCAAGTAAGCAGGGTACTGTGCTCCTCTATTCACTAGTTGGCAGCACTTATGCACTCACCACCTGTCTCCTTCAGGTGGGTGTGGTAGAGAATGAGAGTGGCTACACAGATCTCTGTTAACTATTTGTGAAGAGCAGTTAAGGGTGAGTCAGGCTCTTATTGGTGGTTGTGTATCATTGGCCAGTTGGTGCAGAAGGAAGTGGTGGCTCTCACTCAGTAAGTGGAACTACAGGAGGTGCAGGTGTGGTTGTGTCATATGGGCACAGTGGCTGTCTCCCACTCAGTTAGACAAAAACAACAATAGAAAAACCATTAAAAAGTAAAAGCAAGAGGACAAAAAACACACACCACATAAATACACAGGAATAATCACCAAAAGGAAAAAAGGAAAGGCAGTAAATGAGAGAAAATATTTAAAGAAATACTTTAGAACACCAAAAGAAATATGAGTAGGAAAGGGAGGGGCAGACTGCAATATCTGGGGAGGTAGGGAGAAAGAGAAAAGAAGTAGAGTAGGAGAATAATGAAGAAAAAATGGGAAAAATGCAAAAGGGAAAAACAAGAAATGGAGAGAACCGCAAGAAAGAAAAAAATGGGAACCAGGAAAAGGGAAGAGAGAAAAAGCCAAAAACTAGGACCTCGGAAGGGAAGAAGAAAGTATAATAATAAAAAGGATGAAAATAATAATAATTTTAAAACAGACAAAAACAAACGAACTAAAAACAACCAAAAAATCTGGCTGGGGCAGGGCAGGCCACCCAGGCTCCATCAGAGCACACAGACTTGAATGGAATTCCTGCCGACCCAAAAGGTGAGTGGGAGTGAGAGATGGCCACACCTCCATTCACTAAGAGGGTGTGGGGTATAAGAGTAACAAGACAAATATCGCACTTTTCCAGTACTCAAAGTCCAATATATCCTTGTGGTCTCTGGCACATGGAGCCTATTCTTAGGTCCCCGGAATCTGAGAGAACACTGTCACTTGAAATATCCAAAATGGTCGAACTACTTGTAAACATTCAAAATGGCTGCGCTCTCTGGACAGGCAAAAGTCCACAGCTCAGCCCATCTCTCTCTTTGCTGCTTCTCCTTTTAGTCACCAGCCACCAGTGCAGTCTTCCATGCAGCCCCTGGCTAGCAGGGCCAATTTTTAGGTTAATTCTTAGGTTCTAATACCACTTGGCAATATCCAAGCTGTCCATGCTGTCAGGATCGCTGGCAGTCCACAGCTCTATATGTCTCCTTTTTCAGTGTTTTCATGCAGGTTCTTCTACTTGTTGGAGTTTAGTCTACTTCTATATCCTTCCTTTCAAAGCTCAGGGCTCTAGGATTATCTTCTGTATCTGTGTTAATTGGTTCCTCTTTTGTTTGTTTCTTTGTTGAAGAGCATCTGTGTCATTTGTCTGCCTATTCCACCATCTTAAAAAAGCTCCAGAGGGATCTTTTAAAATCACATACCTACTCTTGTCAGTACTTCAGTGGCTGTCTCCTACCTATGGAACAAAGTCCAGGGCCTTTAGCACAGCATTCAAAACATTTTATCATGTGAGCTTCAGCTGTCTTCAGCCTCACCTCTGGCTTCTCTTATACATATGACTCATTCAATGTGGTAACATAAGAAAAGTACTTAGAATACTACCTGACCTGTAGGAAGTACACATAAAATATCTGTCATCATTTTGGTGGGGTGGTGGTTTTGTTATTTTCATGTGTATGTTATATATGTATATATATGTGTATATATATATGTGTATATATATAGGGTATCATTGGGATATTATTACACCT